AACGATGCCCGTAAAGGTAATTTGAAGGCATCTGACCACGCTATATTTGAAGATAAGAATATTTTATTCTTGCAATCCTTGCTTTGTCAGATCTTGCCTGAAGAGCACCCTTGCGGCAACATGCTTTCAGGATGGCAAGAAATCTAGCCGTAAGGATAACGAGAATCATGGTAATGGTATTTTGCCATTGAAAAATACGAAGAGTAGCAACGAAAATAACCGCCGCTGCGAGGCGATTATGCTAAACAAACGCTTATTATTGCGATTATTATTATCATTGCTATTTTTCGCTTTTTGATTATAAAGCGTCCTTTGCCGTATTTCTTTGCCTTTCCGGTTGCATTTCTTGTGATTCGACTCGACTGCTGGGCTAATAATCATCTAGCATCGGCAACTATTGCAAAATCTGCTACCACAGGAACCTCTGCCGCAATCGAAGAGATCAGGAATCATAAAATCGTTATAAATGATTACAAGCTATTAGGAAACGACAGGACATATTAAGACGTATCCGAAAATAATAGAAAATGCTCGGAATTGATACGAGCTTTTCGGAATCACTACCAATATTAAGAATTCTTAGGAATGATTGGGAAATCTTAGAATGATTGCCAAATATCATATAGAAATGCCGCAATCTGCATATCATTGGCCTCTTATAATTCCGGATAGAAATGAGATTAAAATAAAAAATCTCCATCAATCAAAATAAATATAATATATATAAAATATCATATCATAAATCCTGATATTCTATTATAATTCTCTTGGAACTGCATTCAAGCAAACGTACTATAAAATCAATATTCTAATAGAATTTATTGGGAATGCCGACGATATAATCTATTTGGGTCGTCTTTTTGATCATCGGGCGATCTGACCGCATAGAGATCAGCGCGCAAAGGGACTTCGCATAAAAAATAGATATTGCAAACGGAACGAGAACGTTTTCTCGTGCGGAGCATCCAATAATATTATCCGCAAAGGAGATCTTATAACGCATCTAGATCTACGTTCTCTGGGATTTGGGCATATAAGGCAGGGATATATCCAAATTGATATTTCATCACGAATCCCTTGGAATACGACGAAAAAAAAATAAATTGAATATCCGATGATGAAGTCAGAAAGAAATAGATATTATGAGATCATCTAAATATGTATTCCAAAATTTTCGATATATAAAATGATATATACTTCTAAATATAGATCTTGATATGCCGGGGCAAATTTCCTTAGATCATTACGATCAAATCTTTATAAGATATGATAGCGTCAAAAATCATATATATAGATCCTTTTGGAGAGACTTGAAATGCAACGACCCCTTGATAGCTCCTCCCCTCTTATTATCGTCTGCAATTTGAAAACGTATCGACATTCTTATTTCCTACGGTTGGTATTTTGGGTAATTCGCATCCTCAAATCATATCCCCTTTGAAATGTAATAGAAGACGAATTCCTAATTTTCTATCTCTCATATCTTACGAGGAAAAATATCGCCAGAAATTTGAATGCTAGAGTTGGGATGCTACCTACCAGCAATAGAGAATATTTATTTGAGAAAATCTATATAAAAATCCGATGAATAAATAATATATATATATACGTACGTGAAATTCGATGAATTATCAATATTTTAAGGTCGCGCGTAATATATAGATTCTGAAAGATTTCAGATCTCCGCCCAGGCTCTTCATGTTCCGCCGAACCGCCGCACAATCAGCCAAAAAGAGAGAAATAACTCGAATTCTGAGAAGATTCTTAGGCATGCGGTCCTCTAATCACGCGGACCCGGCCTCCAGATCATTCTTGCCGCCTTATTTAAATCTCTCCTGGACTATCTGCACGATAGCTCGAGAGAACGTATAAATCTCCATGACGATTCAATATAAATCTATCCAGAATAGAAATGGCAAATATAATCCTTTCGTATCTTCTTTCGCGAAAATTTCGTAGAGCCTATTTTCATATAAAGATCAATTTGGGATATCAATTTAGATACCAAGATCTGAAAGACCTTATTATATTGGGGTTATCCAAAATTACTTCGTGACAGAATGACCTCTTCGCGGAAATCCCAAATTCCTTTCGCCAACGCCATCGCTAGCTTTTGCGAAAACATATTTCAAGCCTCGAAGTCTTAAAAATATAAATACCGCATGCACTCAACTCCAAGCCCCTGAGAACTAGCGGGATAAAAAACTGAGGTGCAAAGACCATGGCTTGCAAGGCTGGGGGCTTCCTTGGCTTGCGCGATCTTTCGCGGTTCTTTCGTAGATCTTTCATGGATCTTTCGCGGATTTTCGGGTAAAAACTCTGAGTCTGAATAGATGCTTCAGAAAGATTTACAGTCCTTTCATCTATGAGCATATTCATTTATTGCGAGGCTTTCCCCAAAGTGCACAAAGAATGATTTCATAGAAAGCTTCGCACGAATAGGTTGGGCGATATGAGAATCTCCCTGCGATCGAATTATAAGAAAGGAAATATTTTGACCGCACGTAAGGAACTTAAACTTACGATACTTCATTCGCGAAATCCAAACTTCCTTTCGCGAATCATCTTACTTTGCTGAGCGACACTACTATCACACATCTTTCGTTAAAAAGGATAATCCTTTCGCGTCTTCTTTCGCGAGTCGTTTAAACCAGCTTTAATAGTCGCCCAAGTATAAATCGAAGACAAAGACCTTTAGAATAATCCTCAAATCCAAATCTTTCAGAATCTATTCAATTAGTCATTTTAGTTACGTACGTCCTTAAATATTACTTATTCGTCAAATTTCACGTGCTATCTTATATATTCCGCGGAATTTATCTTATTTTAGATGTTGGCGCGATTTTTCGGAGATTTTAGACTCCTCAGGCAAATAGAGCGAATAGAAATATCGGAGAGGTTTAATCGCGCGGACCCTTCCTCCAGAAGGATTTTCCGCGTTATTTATTTCTATTTACTTATCTATACGACTGCTTAGCAGAATATATTAAACTTAAAATAGAAAACTAAAATCTCTCAGAATTCATAAGATTCGGAGATTAGCTTTTTCTATAGATTTTATAAACGCATCCGAAACGCCGCGTAAATATCTCAGAAGCGATAAATGAAGCGGAAAAATTAGACTTTATAAGAAGATTACAAGATCTCGCGCAGAAAAATAATTAGAATCCGTAGGGAGCCCGTAAAAGGCAATCTAAAAATGAGCCGGAAAACCTAGCTCGCCCGCGAGTGAAATGACCGCAAGTGGCCGGGCCATAGTGAGATATCTTTCACATTTCGATTTCAATATTTTCCATTTCTATATGTGAAAATAAGTGAGAAAAGATTTATTTTATAGTTCAGTGGCTAGTCAATTTTAATTCCCCATATGATGCTGCGTCTGTCCCCCATATTATCGCCTGGGCCCCATGGGGCAATCATGTTGGATGCCATAGCATTGTTTCGGTGCTTACGTGGGCCGACGGCTTCAAGACAGCTCTGAGTTTTCGAGAAGGCTTTCGCGAAACTTTCGTGCACTTACGGGGTAAGAACTGGGAATCTGAAGTGAGCAGACGTACAGGCCTTTGGGATCTTGCAGTGAACATGTGCCCCATGCGCCATGACAAGACACACCCACAATCGGGACTCAATACCTCTAGGATGATTCACTGGGCGCCTTGGTCTGTCACACAACTTTCGCGAAAAAAGTGTAATCCTTTTGCGTCTTCTTTCGCGAAACCTTCGCGAGCCCTTCAAATCATCTGAAATGGTAGCCAAAATATAACCCGAAGACACGGACCTTCAGAACACACCTCACATATACTAATGAGAAAAAGCTTCATTTTCAAGATATTCCATTTGGAATCTTCCAACAATCGACAACTCAACTCCAAATTCCCATCGAGATGAGATGGCCTGCGGGATGAGACAGGCGACCCAAATGTTGCGCGCTATCAGAACTTAAGACCCAAATTGCAAGCGGGTTTGGCCATTTGGTACCATCCCCAGCAGGTTGCATGACCTTAACTTTTGCAACTGCACGCCATGTGTAAGAAGGTCTTCGGAAAGCAAACTTCCCTTCAGGAAGCTGAGCTGTCAAATTGCTTGCATACTGCGAAGTCTGCAAAAGGGGGCAGCTTGGTAACTTCAGCTTGAGGCTACCTGATGCGGATTTCTGGTTTAACTGGCTGCCCGACAAGCCCCCAAGATGCGTCAGCCCTGCTGACATCCACATGGGATATCTTGGATGCTGCACAAGACCAAGCCATTCCCAAGAAGCTTGGAACGGGTTCAGTCTGCGACTCATGCTGAGAAACCCGGCTTTGCAGCATCCTGCTTCCTTCATCAGGCTGCGACTCATGTTTACCTGTTTGGTCATGAAACTTCTTTTGGTCTGTGGTCCACGGTCATGAAACTCGTGTGCTTTTGCTTTGCTCCCTCTTTCTCACGAACGGGATTTCAATCTGTCTTGCGCGACGGCATTGTTCCATATGCCAATACAATATCATTGTCGTTATATGGGCTATCATGCGATGTACCCAACACTTGCTATTCTTACTACTGATTAGGCATGCGGCTAGGCTGAGGCCAGCAATATGGGTTCTGCACGTGAATGCGGGATAGCTGCGATGATTCGAACACATGCTTGAGCAGCCGCATGCATGGCCAACTCGAGGTCACGGTCTCGGCTTCGCCGAAGCTAAGAAGTTCCTCTGCAGAAGCAACTCGTGCATCTGAATACGTCGCAATTGTTGAAGCCTTTCAAACCCGCATGAGAGGGCTGATTTTGAGAAACAAAGCCAGCATTTCCTGCTATCAGAGGACCTTGCACTGCAGCCGTTCAGCGCGGGAGTATTGACGCTACGGAGATGCTATCTATCTCTGGCATCAAATTCCCTGCCAAGCCCAGGGACTGCACCGGAGCCGGCACCTGCATTACATTCCATATGTTACACAGACTGTTCACATGGGGCCCTTAAACGTTGAGCGTAGTCCATGTGAATCTCCCAGTCCCTGGAGACTCAAAAGTTTGGGTAGTGCAGGCAAACTATCTCAAGGTCTGAATCAGGCTTCCGCATTTGGTGCACCACATCCTCTGGTGGATTGGACCTTCATCTGCCCGCAGATTCATGTTTGAAGCCATGCCATGCAACCCTTGACCATAAACATCCAGAGCCCTGTCATGGTGCAGCTCTGCCAGAACATGCTGTCGCAAGCGCAATCACCACCATCACCAGAATTGCGGATCGGCCGCTAGTAAACATGCTATTTGCACGATGCAGAAAAACTTCCAAGCTCCTGGCACACCGTTGACGGACAATATTCGATCATGCTCCCGGATTGAGGCGTCAGTATGGGCCTGGGAGAGCACCAGTAGTCCCAGCACTGCACATCAGGACTGTCCAGGGAATGGCCTTCATGGAGACAATGCAGACAAGTAATATGTTGCGATACTAACAGTGATGATAACAGGATTGCGCTCGGATGTTGTACACATCTGCTCAAGTCTGTGTGTGGTCCAGGCCTTATTCCATTCATGCACAAGGCCCTCCGCAATGGTATCAATCCATGGCTTGAGCGAGTAGTTGGGCATGTAGTTTGCAATGATACCCAACTTCCTCAGTCACTTGCAACGTGTTGACGCCAATGCCTCAAGGCCAGCTTAGCTGCTAAACCACTTCTGATGTTAACTTCCTGCCATCACCATCATCATCATCATCACCATCTAATGCTGGCAATTCAGCATTGTCCTTGAAACCTGTGACGCCTTTGCAAAACATCACCCGTTTTCTACAAGATCGTCAGGAGTTTGAGCAGAAGTCAGACTGCCTCTGACTAAATGCGCACACCGCAAACATACCAAGGCAACTTTTGCCCGACATCAATCTCCCCCTCAATCTTCCGGCTGCCAGGAATCCCAGGTCGCTTCAGCGTCAATGTTCGTGTATGGGGTCGCTGAAGCAGCAAGGTCACCTTGTCTTTAGCAGCACGCGCAGAAAGATACAATGAAAGCAATGCGCATAAGAGAAGCTGTGCATTCATGCATGGCAACAGCGTCAGCCTGATCTTCGGTGGTGTTTTCCAGAGCTTTTGCCTGATTGCACATGGCACGTGGAAGTTGCCTAGAATGAGGACAGACAGCAGCTGTATCTAGTCGATGGTCTCGCAAGAAAGCTGAGCATCCAACCAACTCTTTGCCAGAGGCACGCAAGCCGTTTACTTCGACGATTCGGTCGTAAATTGCGATTTGCGAGCTCGCGGGGTTTTGCCTGGGAGGCCAAATGCTGCAGTTCAGCAGGGCAACTCCGGTTACATTGCCATTATATTAGATCTGTTCTTCTAATCATGTCTGTGGCGTCGTCAAGAAGACTTGGCTCATACAGAAAAGCTTCAGTCGATACAGCATCCTGCGACAGCCCTACCCAACATTAATGCCAAGATCAACACTCCTTGGGCAGATTACGGTTGCATGCAAATCTGCGTGATTCTCATAACCAACTTCCCCAGATACAGCAAAAAAAAGTGATGAAGACGTTGCGCAAACGACAATCAAGCTAAGCTTCTTGTTCCATTCCGCCACAGCGTTGGTCATCTTCTTGATCATTAAATGGTCCTGAAGCGCTGGATGCGTTCATGCTTTTTGACGCGCGTATTCTATAGCTTATGCAAAAATATTTGCATGGAATCATTGGTTCTGCAACTTTGGCGAGCACTTCAATAATCATCATCAAACAAGACATGGCAAAACTGACAAGTGCCAACACTAAGAACGTGGCAAGATATAAACGCCTGGTGAGAGTCGGTGAGAGTAGACCAGAATTGCCATCATGGTATGATAATATGTGGGGAGTTTGGGAAGCTCGGCTAAATCGCACCTGACAGAGACATGGCTCGAGCTGTCTGGGGTTCCTGTGCGAATGGTTGACCTGACAATATGTCGTCTTGTACAACGTGAAAATTCAAGCTCTGCTCCGTGAACTCAGACACCAACTTTTAGTCTAATGTTTTTTAACCCTTAGCAGCCTCTTGGAATCCTGGCTTTGTCAGCCAGGAAGGGGCCCAGAGGCCAGGAATCACAACACATCAGCAATTGCACCGTTTCTAGATCACATTTCCAGGGCATGTTAAGCAGCCATGTGAAGCTGCCTGGGCCCAGAGCCCCGTTCCCTGACACAGCAACAATCGTCATCCGCACAATTTGCCCGCCCAAGAACCAAACCCTTCTGCACGTCCCAGCATCCACATCAGACTTCTCCAACGCCAAATCCCATTTACGATCTGCTCCACGTTGAAGTTGGACTGTAAAGAGACCGGTTTCGGCCTGCTAGATCAGCAGAGCATGGTATGCAAGGGCATGTGGACATGTCTGGGATTCGATGCAGTGCAGCTGCAATTGCAATTTGTGCCAGTTCGCTCTATCTCTCCACCCATGAAATCTTGTCTGACGTGACGCGGCTAATTTCGTGATGGTGTTGGGGAAGTGGCTTGACAGAACGGCACGTTTCGATTAAATTACGATGTGTTTCTCAGGTGCAATCCAAGTCTAGCAAGCTGGTTGGAAGTATCCTTATCCGATCTCATCGTGGTCTACTGCCAAGCAAAATAGCTGCGCATTTAACTTGTACAGTAAGGAAAGACAAGCAGGATGCGTTTCCTGCGAGAAGGTGCGGATCACAGGAATCCAACTGCGAAATGGCTCAAGGACGAGGCAACCTATAAGCTGAGCCTTCTGGACTTGCCAGTCACTCCCTCCCTCCCTCCCTCCCTCCACTGCACTTGAAGCTTCCCTTGAACCATTACCACGTTTCCGTAATGTAAGCTCAAATGAGTTGCAGATCGGTCGGAAAGGCAAAAGCTTACTGCCAAAAGAACGTCCTCGACATGAGTTGACTGCCGAAGCTGACTGAACCTTATCTGGTTCCTCGTACATCGCCCTCTCGATGTAGTCCCCAGCCCTATCCAGAACTTGTAATAGGCCGTTGTCTACCACCTTGCCTGTGACTCATGTAGTATGGGTGACGCAGAATTTCAACCACCATCCAAGCTTTTAGGGTGATGGCAAGCTACTGGGAAAGAAGCTAATCCTGTGCTGAACCCTTCCCGGGCGCCATCATCGTCTCCGCCAAAGCGGGAGTCGATTTTACAAGGCCCTTTGGGGTGCGCTCACTGCCATCCTTAGGTACCGCAAGGGAGAGCCAAGGGAACTTGCACTAAGAATCATCATGATATGATATTCGCACCTATGGCATGTTGAAGTCGTCATGCAAGCTACTTCTCCTATAGGAGATAATGTTTCAAACGCTTGGAAAAACTTATTGCGCATGTATCTTTGGACCAAATTTGTTGGATGATGATTTAGGAATTGAGGTTGCACGGGGGCAAAACTCATGGGGTCTTCATAAACAAACGGCCTCCTTTGTTGGCAAGCCTTTACGATAAGCATTCCCACAGTCTAGGTACATGCCGCAAGCGCCCCATTTGATGCTGAGAAACACCCGCATTCTTGTACAGTGAACAAGAGCCTCTTGAGTACAGTGGTTCTCACCTTGGGCCTAGACATTGGACATCCTTCTCTGTTCGGCTCAGCGGGGTATGTGCCCCTATTCAAACCCGAAAGGCTGCAGCAGACCGCAAGTTCGGCGCATGCCCAGACTACAAGCTGGCAAGGGAATCAGACTACAGTGATCAGTGATTACGCATGAGTTGTTTGCAGTTTTGCTTTGCAGTTGGGGCAGCATGGGGCCGCAACCTGGCAAGAGACCATCCTTAGGGATCACCCTTGGACTAAATACACATTAACCCAAATCCTTTGACATGGAAACCTGTGGTAAACCAACAGCCTGGAGCTTTGATAAGGAAGCCCTTTCGGCTAGCTAATGCGAGCTGTATGGAATGCAGTGCTTCAAGGTGCCACGGCCACGGCATCGAAGCCCTCGCGCTCGTCTGTGCAGCAGCAGGTGAACATGAAGCGTGTGCCAAGTACCTGTGCTTTACTTCTCAGCTGTGTGGACTGGGCGGAGGGTGTTTTTTCGAGAATGAGATCAGAGCAGCTTGGGCTTTAGGTGCATCTTCAGTCTAGGCTGCCAGGCTATTTTCAAGCCCGGGGCTCGCTTGGTGATGCTTTTGCGCTGCAGCTCTGCAACCGCAAATTCAGAGGGGAGGACGTCAGCTTGGCTAGAGTAAGATGCTTGCCACCTGGCAAGGCACCTCTGTACCCACAAACTGTGAAGCCCAGGAACGCTTGTGCGACAGGTGGCGAGAAGACTCGGCTTTGAGCCAATGTCTTCGGTGAAGCAATGCTGCTCCTTGCAATTCTGTATACATGCCTGCAGGCAGCGCATTTAGGGAGTCCGCTAGCACTTGAGCCATGGCAGACTCATCTTGGTATTCCTCAAACGAGGGCTCCATGGTAAACCACAAAAAAAAGCGGTTGCTATGGTTATTGTGGAGACCTCAAAAAGGAAGATGTAATTCGGCACCGTATGGGCACATAATTCCGGAAGGGGAGCCCTGCACCCCCATTACAATCTCTACACTTTCAAGATTCTGTAGTAGCACCAATTTGTGTTGAGAAGCCCCACAGTACGAGCAGGACTCGTAGGTTGCAACAAGCCAGTCTCAAATCAGGGGCTCTGCTCATCGCTACTGTACCGCCCAAAAGGTTATGATCCCACTAGAACAGGCTTGCGCATGAGGTGCCTTCAAAGACTAACGCTATGCCTTCTTTTGCCACAAGCTCAGACTTTCCTTTCTTCATGGGCGTGGGCTGCGTGCTGCGCGCGGAAGGCCTGCATCGAGTGGATGACGGACAGTCTACTTGGACCTGCAACATGTGTGGGTTAATGGAAGCTGGGGTCCCGTCTGGGGATCTCTCCTGCTTGGTTAGTGGGCAGGGAGCGCTCCTTGAGCACTGGCTAAGCTAAACCGTTTGCGCCTAAGATGTTAAGAAGTGGGAAAGCACAGTCTGAGGGTGGGGGTTAAAGAATCCATGAAAACAGACCCAGATCTTGATCACTGTCGGTACAGTGAGCCCCAACAACTCAGAATCTGTGAGCGGACCTTTTCTCAGCGCCGCGGAATGAGCCTTTTCGGCTAGGCGGCAGTGTGAAGCCAGAGAAGCCAGGAGCAGAAGGGCAGATCTATCATATTATGCACTCATGAGCCGCACGTTTATCTTACACGCTTGGAAACTTGACAGGCTGCGTGGGGTGCTCGTGTATGCCTGCGGTATAATCTGGGAAACTCATGCTCTCATTGGGATTTGTTCATCGATTGGATTCCAGGTAGGGCATCGCCCCGTACTGGTTCTTTGGTGGTGGCCTTCCAGTACGTAAAATGACAACCATCTCATAAATACAATGCTGAAAGTATTGTTGTTCCTGGAAGATGTCAGGTTGCTTCTGGGAGTAAATACATGTATAAATACGCATATGTCCATGAATATGTTGAGCACTCTATTGTATTCGAGAAGAGCAGCATTCCAGCACGTTGTCCGACTTTTGGAAGCCCGTCGCTGTGAGGAGGACAAGCGATTTGGGCAAGGTGAATGCTGCCTTGACAGAGTAGGTTGGGGCCCCACCAGAAGTAGCTGCTCGCAGTTTGCCTGCCCCATAGACGTGAAGATGCAGAAACGGTGTCGCCGCCGGTGCGGTCCAGCGGATAGCTATCCAGACTTTCTGCGGCTTCCGAGAACCAACTGTCAGTAGATCACCTCGATTCACAGCCGATGCAGCCGCGCCCTTCGCACCTTGTGTCTCTCGCAGAAGTCTCCTCAGGAAACCATCGCTCCTTGGAAACTCCGCCTCGAGTCGCTGCGGATCAACCTGCAATTTGACGGCAGTGTCGGTGACGTTTCCCGCAAGCTAGCCAAAGGAGTGCAAGAAACGGCCCCTGGTGTTTGCTGCCTCCTGCAGGATACTACAGATAGTTTGAACCTCTAACATCCCGCAAGCTAGACCTGCACGGTCTTTTGTCATGTGTCCGATCCAGAAAACCCATGGTCACTGACTCTAGGCCTAGGCCTAGGGCTGTCTCACAAATGCAGGCCTGCTGCCGATCTCAAATAGCTGCAACAGATGCGCATTGACTTAACAAGCCCTGAATGAGGTGGTCCTTTGCAGGCTTGAAGATGAATTGTGCGCCCCAGCGCCTTGGTGCCATCCGTATGCAAATGCCACGCTATGGTGTCGGAATGGCTGTAGACCCAGGCAACAACGGACTAAAGTGACTAAAAGCTGAGGATTGCCATCTAGGCACTCTGGACCTTGCATTGCGACGGGCGCTGCAAGACGAACCAGCAAGTCCACACCCTCATCAGTTTCCTGGTGCAAGCTGCAAGTACAGGTCTCAGAATAAAGGAGATTTTGATTGTTGGCAAGGGCTTTGCTGGCCATGCTGGCCTTGGCACAGAGGGCACCCCCTCGCCCAAGGCGCGGCTCGATACTGTAGGGCTCGAATAGAGGTGCCAGGCGACCCAAAACCTGGGCATGAGCTTTTCACCCGTGTGGGAAACTTTCTGGGCTACAGCAGCTGTGTGAAAACAGCTTGGATTGCTAAACTTGCCCAAGCTGCCGGGCGAAAACAAAGCCATCCTTCCTCGCAGCTTGAAGCATTAAAGCGTGTCAAAGTGTCCTGCCACTTACAGGAATTGTCCTGCAGCAGAGCCTGCAGGAGACCGGAGCGCGGCTTTGATGGGCCAACGCCTGAACATGAAAATGCAGGGAGAACGGTTTGGATGCCACTTCCGCTTGCTTTGATTGGTGTTGGCGTGCGTAAGCCTTGCAGCCATAAGTAGCGAGGCCGGAGCGAGGGCAGCAACTTGGAGAAAAGTCCTCACTCTGAGCACCAAAAGGCTTGAAAGCAAACCAGAAGCTGAGATGCTATGCGCGTGCCCAGTCTTCCACTGTCAATAGCATTTGCTCTGTCGACTGTGCTGCTGCTCCCAGAGCTTATGCAAGCCCGGTTCCCCACAACTTGCAGCCAACGCTCGGTCTGGGTGACAGCGGCGACCAACCTTCAGGATGCAGCATGCTGACTTCTCAACTGCTAGAAGAAACAAGGTTCCAGCTGCTATGCGCCTCCACCACCACCTCAGATTCCTCTGCATGGACATCAAGCTCGACGCGCGCAGCATCACACCGGCGCCTGCATCAGGTGAAACACGACTGTGTCCGTATTGCTCTCACTGCCTGTCTTACTAGACTAGTATAACTCTAGCGCTGCAGCGACTTCAGCGAAACCATTACTGCCTGGCTATGAGAACCGTGCGGCCTGCCGCAGGCCAGAGGCCTTGGCTGGGAGAGCCGCGGCTTGGAGAGGTCGGTCTCCTCAGGCTCGGCTTCAAGGACTCGGCCCCAACAAGTGATGCGAACTGTAGAACAACAGATAAGCCAAAGAGATCACAGCCGTGAGATGCTAACAGCTGCACTCATCACGAAATCCTGCCAAAGCCTGATGCACGCAGACCGAATCTGGTAATCTTTTAGTCCTCGTCGGCCGCTGTGACTTCCATGCACTGCTGCGCAGGGTGCACGAATGCCACCCTGAGCCGGCTGCAGGTTGGGTTTAAGGCAGCTTGGAGGTCTGGGGCTTGACAAGTGAATTTCTCATGCCCGATGTCCAGGGAGCTTTAGCAAGGGGAGGGGCCTGGAACAAAGACTCGACAAACAATTTCTTTTGCCAACTCATTGTCAGTATTCCCTGCGCCCACAGGATAAGTTTTAAGAGATCTTTTTTGCAGAGCTGCTTCTTAAACATCTGAAAGGTTGATAAGCCCACAGCAGAGAAGTCTTTGATACAGGGACACCCTGCAAGAGACTCATAATTCTCAATGTCGCGGGGCCCTCATGCTGAGGCTGTTGCGGACGCTTCGCTGCTTGCTCAAAGTTTTGCCATTGGATGGCAAGCATTCGAGCCTTGCGGTGCTCAAGCCCAACACAGAGCTTGTAGGAAGTTTTGAATCGATACAGTATGAGCCGCGGTAAAGTTTGTCTGGTTCCTTCTCGTTAACCCCATTCCCTTTCGAGGAGCGAAACAATGCTTACATGTTCCATCTCGTTGTAAATGCTCCCAAGCATGTTGGAAGGGACCATCTCGTTCTACTAGCCTTGGATTGGAGCGAAGGACTGACCCCCGTACCATAATGCAGCGTTCCAACGTCAGGCGTTCTGAGGGCATGATAAACCCTAGTAACCTAGTACCTTGCAATCCTCGCACGTCTGATAGTCTCATTTTGCAGCGCTTTATTTGGGCCTTGCATCTTGCTTTCAAGAACAAACTAGCATTGAAACCTACAAAACCTGGAAACTCGCGTTTTACAGACTAGACGCGTGAATTCCAACAATTCTGACCGACGTCAGACATGTGTTTGTAAAGAGAAAAAAGGATGGCCCTTGGTTCACAAACTCTCCAAATCAGGAGTTTGAAGTTGATGCGGCTTGCAACAGCTACCTCCGACGGGCAGCATACTCCCGCCTCGCAGCAACTGTCGACTTCAGCCCAGCCTCCACACCAGGCTTGCGTAGGCATCCACAGAACTTCTGTGTCGAAACATTCGAAACATTTCCTAGAAACAGCAAGGGATCAACGAGCTTTAAATTGCACCCTGTGCCGCGGCGAAAAGCAATGGATGAACAACGGACTAATTCCTGCCTATTGCGGCAATCCTGTGGCATCATCTCTGCTGAGCCCCCCGTCTTGCAATGTGTAAACTTTCATCGTTCTTTGTCTGTAATGTTGGACCCTCTTTAATAAGGGGCCCCCCCCTCCGAAAAATAGAAATTAGGGATCCTCAATACGGCCCCCCTGAGCTCCCACGGTTCTGAGGTCCCTGTAGATTGATTTAAAAAGGATTGTTGAGAATGCTTCCTACATTTTCAGGGCCCCAAAATCAAAACACATTATAGGGGACCTCAAATCATATCCCAGGTC